ATAGGGATCATGCTAAGACTCAAAAACAAGATAGCAAAGCATTACTTTTTTGTAAACAGTACAAAAATGATTCAGGCCAGTCTCTGAAAACCATGAGGACAGCAACTCCATGAGTGAAAACAGATGATTTATGTAGGAAGTTAGGAAGATTTGTAGGTCTATGAAATCAGGCCCGATGACCCTCCTCTTTGCAGAATATGCATTGGTTGGCTTCATGTTCTCTAAGACCTCTTGATCTACCTGATTCTTCACTCTGAATTTGAATTTTGACTTTTCCACTTACTAGATGTCTAACCCTGACCAAGCACAACCTTCTCAATCTTATTTCCCAGATCTTAGGAAGGAAGGCTAATCAGCATATGTGTGGGCACTCCAAAAATGTTTGTTCTTTCCCCTTTCCTGCACGCCAGCCAGTCTAGAGGAGGTCTGCTAGGAGGTACACACAAAGTAAAAATGCCTCATTGGGTGGGAAGGGAGGTGGAGCAGGCCTAGCTCTTGAAGAGATCTGTGCCTATACCCTTTCCTCAGGCTGGTACTCTCACCCCACTCAAAGTGGCCACAACATAAGAGCCTTGTATCTGGCTGCAGAATTTGTGCAGGAGGGAGCTTCCTGTGGGTGGCCCTCTGCTGCCTTCCCTAGCCCACAGATACCCTAGCTCATCTTTACAGTTCTATATTATACCTAGGTTTTATCATGCCTTGTCATTTAGGAAGGGTTAATTAACATCACATGGCGATAGTCTTGGTCACTTGTGTACATACGTACCCTCTTAGGGAGGTTGTGGGCCCAGTGGACTGATCCTTAGCAACCTGAGTTTCACATCAGGAGCATAGCAAGCAATTGTTGCATTTTCCCATTGGTAATTTATGTGTCTGAGGTTTTCTACAGAGGTGAGAATCATCCACATCAAAACCGAGACAGGAGACTGGGATTGTAGCTAAGTGGAGGAGCATTTGCCTTACACGTCTGAAGCACTGGGTTCAATCCTCAGCACCATATAAAAATAAATAAGTGAAAAAAAAGGTATTATGTCCATCTACAACTAAAAAAATGTTTTAAAAACCAAGACAGGCAGGAGTCTTCCCATATCAGAAGACAGGTGGGAATGGCCCCATGTGAGAACCGAGACAAGGCCTGCTGGTGGTGCACACTGTCGACATGAGGGTAGACTTCTGTGGGAGGCTATCCTTGTTCTAAAATGAGAGAAACTTACTTCAGGACTCTAAGTTGGTTAAAGACACATATATCTTGTATGGGTTATTATAATTCTTGATGAATATAATAAATGGCTTTTCATTGCCCTCATTTGACGTTTCTAATTTTTTTCTTTTAAAATGTATTGATCTAGAGTTTCAGACTAAGATGAAAAATATTTTATGTACTTTTTTCAAATAGGAATAAAGAAAATATTAAATAACTAGTTTTGTAACTAGAAATGGAATTCAATTTAATTAGCAAAATTCAGTAAAGTGAACATTTTGTGATATTTGTTTATTTTCCTTTTTTTACATTATCAAGAAAAAATTACACCTTTTTCAGGGAGGAGGGATCCTGCTTAAATACTTAAATTAGAATTTGAACAGATTAACTCAAGGCCTCTATAGCAGGGACACAGTATGCATCTGTGACCTGTACAGAATCTCACAGACATACCCCGTCTGCCTTTCTCCAGGCAGCACAGAGGCAGACTGGGAGATGTTTGACGTGGAGAAAGCGGTTCACATCATTGTTCCGGATGGCTAATTTCATGAATTGTTCAAACATCGCATTCTCTTGGAATCTAGAGCTCGAAGTAATTGGTTTTGAAGTGCAACAGTTCTCATAGTCCTTACCTCCTTTCTAGTTTTTCTTACAATGCATTTTCTGCAAATCATAACACACTTAACTTTGCTTTATGTTTTCAAATAAAAATATTCTTTAATAAGCACATTTCTGTTGTTTGTTAAATAAGCTACACCATTGAGAAAACAGCTTGAAATGGAAACGGTTTGTATTCTTTCCATAAAGCAGGTTTCATCTTTTCAATCTATATAACCTGAAGGAGAAGAAAACCAAAAATGAAAGTTATTTGGAATAAATTTTTCCCATCTTCCCCATTTTTATTTTCATTATAGAATGTGGGTAAGGAACTGCCTTTTAAAATGATTTTCTCTGTTCGACAAATGTGTTAATGTTTAAAGCCTGTCACTGCTGTTAGTCTTGGAAAGAAGCACAAAGATACAAAATGCATTCTTCAGCCTACCACATGTTAGAATGGACAGAACCTTTCACACAGTGAAATTGTTACCAAAAAGCAATGTAGGAATTGACTTAATTTCTAAATCTACATTGTATAGTGTCATTTATTTGCAGTTCAGAAAGTGTTATACATTTTTTGTATATTTTAAGGCCCTTCTTGCTCTTGGAGATCAACATAAGGGGAAGATAAATGGTGAGCATGTGTGAATAATTTTTAAATTTTATTATTAAGGGAAGCATTAGAGTTTTAAGGTCTACTTTGAGCTAGGTTGCTACATTGAAGATGATAGCTACAGGTGGCATGGACCAAAGGGGACACTAAAGACCACAGTGGGGCAGCGCAGCTTAGGGGCACGCACTGTCCCCTGTGTGCTGCCATGCATGTGCGGGCACTCAACGCCTGTGGGTATTGGCAAAACAGTTTTGAGAGTCTGTCTTTCATTTACTGATACATTGGATAAATTTGAGTACCTGTTCTGTGGGCAGAAAGTAGAGCTCAACCCTATAGTGACTTAGTTTATAGTCCTAGGTGATAAACAGACATGTAAATTGCTATGAAGCAGTGCAGGTAACTCAGAATACATTTAGAGAAAATTTTATTTGTTTCATACTTTAAATGATAAGTGTGCAAATCAGCACTTGGCCTCTTCTTGCCAATTATGCACTCTGTTTGCTGGGCCTCCTGGAACAGCTATTCTCTTGTCTGTAGAATCAAAGGGTAGGTAGTGTCAGTTGTATTTAGGAAATAGAAGTGAGGATATGTAGATTTCGCTTTCTCCAGCAGCGTTTATCAGAACTGTGTCTGTGTAAATGGTTTAGAACCTGGTCATTTCAGTTCAGACATACATTCAAGTATAAAATAAGCTAATCTATTGAAGCTACTTGCTTTTCTTTTCTAAATGGTTTTTTGTTGTAGCTGTTCTTCAAAAGAATAAAAGTCAATGGCAAAATTTAGTTTCATGGATTACTTATTTTTTAATTAGACAATTTTTGAATCTACCTGAAGAGCTACCTAAACATGGGAATAAGTGACAACTCCCTGCCTGGCATTGTGCATGGAAGAACGAACAACATTTTGGAAAATATGAAGCAGAGTACTTGAATATTCTTATGCCTTTTAAAGGCTAATGATGGTATGTGAGGTACTATGCAAAGAGCTCAATTTCATAAGATATATAAAAAAATTTATAAACATATCTCCATTGCTACAAGATTATATAAAAGTAAAGTGGTTACAGTGTAAAAATTTTTATAACTTTGTCATCCAAACATAGATACAAATATTCTTTCACTTTTCAAGTATTTTTAATGGCATTATGTTAACCTTCATTTTCCCACTTAAGATACATTTACATGAAGTATTTTGCCCATCAGTGCCACTGAATAGTTTATCAGTAGCTTTTTGTAAGCATAAAACTTTAATTGAAAAACATAGTTCCTGGGGACTGCAAAATTAAAAGTACTTGCAGCTAATGAGGCAGAGACTGGTCACATGCAAGAGTAGATATGTGTTGAAGACAGCCCTTCATCAGTGCATTTGCAGGGCTCTGGTTTCCAAACCTAGCTCAATCCCACACATAGGAGATTGCATTCTCTGTGTTTTGCACATGCCATGTCTGCCCGTCTTGGTATTCACCCACAGCAAACTGGTCTATGGCCGATCCATGAGTATCTAGCTGAAAGGCTACAGCTTCACTCTTCACAGCTAGCTGATAACCCAGGCACTCTGGCTGTTGGTTCCTGATCTAGGTAATTCCCAGCGCAAGCACACTGTTGGGATCCAGGTCCTAGAAAATGTTTCTTTTCTTCCCCTATTTGGTTTCCTTATTATATTAAAATATATCTTGATATCAAATATATCTTGAGATTTTATATGTGTGTGTGAGTGTGTGTGTGTACACGCACACTATATAACCTCAGGTTAAGAGGAAGGTTTTCAGATTTTAAGTTCTAAGTGTTATGTCTGAATATTAACATTAAGAATATGATGATAAAATTAGACTGAATATATAGCTGTTATGATACTGATGTATGACCGTGTTTGATAGCTGTATACATTATTAGCAACATACAACTTATATTTGAATTTTGTTTCATGAAAAATATGTACTATCATAATATATAATGATGTATCTGTTGGTACATGTTTGAACATATAACAACAGATACATCATTGTGTACAGTATAATGCACCAACACAAAAATGTATAAGAAATAAAAGAAAAATATCCAATATAATAACAACATTTTTAAAAAGGAATTTAAGAGAAAAGACTTTTCTCATGGGTGTATTGTGGTATTTGCGGGAGTGTCCCCCCCCCCCCCCAGGCATATATTCACAGTTATACCTGTCTAGTCCTTGTCCTTGCAGAAAGGTGGGGTAAACATGACTGAGTTCATCTGTGATCATGTTCATGCTAATGTTTCCACCTTTGCAGGGAAGCAGTTCCTAGTCCAGGAATGTTGCTAAAACACATTTGAAGATGTGATTTTAGCCTACTCTTAAACGGTATCACACTATATATAGTACTTTTATGAACATTTAAATTTGTTTATATTAAAGCTAAATATTAAAAACAGTTGACTCAAGATTGGTCTTTCAACTTTGCTTTTTACAACTTACATTTTGAGGTTCCTTTAACACTGCTATTCCATTGGATCCAGGTTGTGGGCACGTTTCTAACACTATAGATTATCTAAAGTATGAATAATAAAAAGAACATGGCCAATTTTCCCGTTTTGTTTTTCTGTCCCTGAACAGGAAGACAGTGACCCTCCCATTCATGAAAGTCTCAGCATAGAAAACACGTTGTGGGCAAGCACCATTGTTGCCTCAGGTGAGAAAGAAGTTCTCCTTCAGTGTGAATTCTCCCAGGATGAGGACTCCAAACAGCTTTCTCAGAATTGCCTGAAGTATGTTTGTGGCAAGGCCTGTGTACTTCGTCACCCATGGCACTGGGGATAGTAAAGCCAAAAGCAACATGGAGGTGCAGTCTTCCTGGAAGAACAGGTGGTCAGTTTCTTGGGTTCTGACATGTATTTCCTAATATGCTCCTCAGTGTGCCTTAGAGCCAGTTGTAATTTTAGAAGTGCTATGTTCACATGGGGGCCTTGCTGTATGCCATTGTGTACAGTAGGCTCCTTCAGGAGTGCACAGGTTCACCTTCTAGGGACAGAATATGAAAGAGGATTCACTTTTATACTGATGTTTCATGTGTTTAAAACAAGTTTGAGGGCGAATATGTGAATTCTAGTAGGTGTCAATTCTTTGAGGTATTTGATTTTTTTTATCCCATATCTTACTTTAGTTTTTCAGGATGCAAAGAGAGGTAAGGGTGGCACTCAGTGAGGAGACCTCAGGGACAGACAGGACAGCGCTGCCTCTGGCACCACAGGAAGGGTGTTTGCAGGCCCCATTAGAGGGCATGTGGAAGCCAGGGAAGCCCTGCTATCTTGCCTGCCACCTTTCTGCTGTCCTTGCTGGTGTGTGTTGCTGACAGCCAGGGGCAGGGCAGGGAGGTGGTGTTACTGCCAGCCTCCTCCTGGACTACTCTGTAGCCTCATTGTTACGGTCAGGCCAGAGCCAGGCAGGACCTGCTGCAGCACTGAAGTCCAGGTATGCCTTCCAGGAAAGCCATCAGCCCCAGAGCTCAACATTAATATTTCATAGCAAAATACCTGAAAGACAGGTTGTGGCTTATATGATCAGAAATTCCGATTTGTTCTGTATTTAACACGATATTATTTATTGTTTTAAGTTACGTGTCATTGAGATACTAAGGTTTTCTTTATAAAATCGATTTCATTTAATCTTTTGTTCTGTTTCTTTTTTAAACATGTGTTAGAGTCTTGTCATTAATGCCATGTAGTATTGATTTGTGACCATTCTCCTCAAAGAAACAGAAGCATCTGAGGTAAAGGCTTCTAAGACATCCCATATAATTTCCTGAAAAGAGATTTTCTTTTGTGACCTTAAGGCTGGATGATCTTGGCGAATGATAGTTGCTACTTGTTTACTTTGGCAACAGAGACTCTTTATTATTCTTTGCCATGTAGCATTTAGCTTGCCAGGGCACTTGATCTTCACAGAGAGTATTTTTAAATGTCCACTGAAGAAGGTTAACTAACCTCTCTTTAATGTTATTTTGTGTTTGGACATATTTAAAATGCACGAGTAAACCTTTATTTAAAAGCCTGTTGTGTGAACAACTACCCAAGTCTGTCCTTTACCAGATTACCATGTCCTGACAACATTTGGAAAGACTCGAGATGTCCAGGAATAACCTGAGGGTTCTTGTCTTCTTTGGAGTTGATCATAAGTTTAGAATTCTTTTCAATCTTACATGTTAAAGTTATATCTCCATTGAATGCAAGGTGGCTCTTTTTTGTGTGTGTGATACTAGGGGTGGCACCCAGGGTTTTGTGGATGCTAGACAACCCCTCTACCACTGAACCACACCCTCAAGTTGCTCTAAGTAAAGCAAACTTGGCCGTTCTTTCTCTGTCATGGAGTCTCAATGCATAGGAACAAGGACTCAAACACAGACCCACAGGACAGCAGATGACCAAAGGAAGACAGAGAACTTCCTGAGCTGCCATGTTCAGTTGCCCTGATTGATTCAGAGAACCCTATCCTTCCAAAAAAGATATAGGTCCTCCAGAGCTTATTATGATGTGCACACAAGAGTCTGTTCTCGGAGGAGTCCCTGCGGCCTAGAAGGAAGCAGGGCCTTCCAGAACCAGAGATCGGTATTCCGCAACAGGACTGTCCAGGAGTTGAGCCCTTAAACCAGGCACAAATGTGCACAGACTGCTCTAGGAATCAGTCCTCTGGAGCAGGGCCTTGAGTATGTACAGACAGCCCCTCCAGGAATTTAAACCTCTGCAGGCCCCTCCTGTCAGTCCCCTCCAGGAGGTTAGTCCTCTGCAGTAGCACATTGAATATGTACTGAGGGGCTGTCCAGTTTACTCATCGTGGAAAATGAGAATAATAAATATTTGGAAACTGTTATAGAAGTTGGATGTAGTTTACTGATGTTGGAAATATTGGCACATATGTGTTCTTTAATTTGGTTGTTAATTTGTTCTGGTAATTCATTTTTATTGTGTTTTATGAAAGTAGCAGTCTCAATGAGATTTTCAAAATGAACTCTGGCCCAAAGGTCATTAAGAGGGTGAAATGGGAAGACCTGTCCCAGTAGGAAGTTGCCTGAAGGGCCAACCCCAAAGATCTATGGGGATGGGAACAAAAAATGGCCAAGGAGGTCGAGCAGGTGGGTGAAGCCGAGAACACCAGAAATACCCAGGAAGTAGGCTGCAGTGCAGGTCCTGGGCACATGGGTGGGGGCTGCTTCTGCTGGAATGGTCTCTTGGAGCACTTTGTGTGGGCCATAGAGGTGGACATCAGAGTTCTGTCCAAAGTTTACTGCTGTCCTTGTGATGTCCATGGCTTGTGGACTCTGTCCTTGGTGCAGTTCTTATGTGTCCCTCTCTCTGCCTCTGGCCATGTGGAGTCCACCCTTGGGGTTGTGTGTCATGTATCCTCTGTATGTCCCCAGCTTTGTGGCACCTGAGCCTGGTGCAGATGTCCTGTGGCCCTGTCTGTACTTCTGGCTGTGAGGACACGAGACCTGAGAGCAGGTCCTCTTTGTTACTCTGTGTCCTACCTTCCTACTTTGGTTGGTCTTGTTGAGGTTGTGATGCTCAGTTCATTGTCTCCTCAGGTCACTGTGCACCTGGCACTTAGTCAGTCTATGACACGTGGTGTCCTTACCTCCTACCTGTGTTGCCTGTTTGCTTCCCTGACTGGCCTAACATGTGAAGGCTCCATACTAAGATGCAGTGTGGACCCTGGCATTTGTGAAGATTGGCACCAGAGAGCATCTGTCAATCAGAGTCAGTTCCTGGCTGATGTGGGTGGTCCTGACAGCTTGTTTCTTTTCTTTTCTTCTCTCTTTTTTTTTTTTTTGTTAAAGATAGAATTTTTTTAGTATTTAGTTTTCAGTTTTCGGTGGACACAACATCTTTATTTTATTTTTATGTGGTGCTGAGGATCGAACCCAGCGCCCCGTGCATGCCAGGCGAGCACGTTACCGCTTGAGCCACAACCCCAGCCCCCTGAAAGCTTGTTTCTATAGTATCTAGCCAGTCTGCACGTATCATACCTTGGTTGACAGTACTCTCTGTATGCTTTTCATACACAGAAAAAACAAATGTTTTATTTTTGGTTTGAGTTAATTTTGTAATAAATAAGTAAGCATTCTACTCTCTTTTTGATCCAGTAGTTTCAACCACCAATCCTTTTGTTAAAATGGTCTAGGTTTTATGTTTTGCATATACACACACACACACACACACGTGTTTATATGTGTGTGTATAAATTATCCATGAATCATCTTTAAGTTACTTGGGGTTTGTGAGGATTGGTTGAGAATAAGTAAATTGAACTTAATATTTTCTCAGTGGTCGAAAGCAACTGAAAATATTGTAGTAGGTTGATCTTTTAAAATATTTAGGAGAATAGTCAGTTTGACTTGCTGCATTGTTTTGTGGTCATACGTGTTAAATACTTACAAAATATAAAAAAGAATACCTTTTCCCCCTGACGTTGGCCTTGTTAGCATTTTTTTTCTTAATTTGCATTAGGAAAGTTATTTGCTTAAAGTATAACTGTTCTGTTAATTAGAACTTGATAGGGTTTTATGTGAAATTTCCTCAATAGCATGATATAAGAGGTTCATGTAATAGCTAATATGTCAGCAACTGTCCCCTTGAATGACAGGGGGATGGCACTGAAGTTTAAAGTCATACCAACAGACAACATCACGCAGGGTAGGGCTACTCAATCAGTGGTGGACATGTCATGCTTGTGACCCTGTTGGGTACAGCCAGCACCTGGATCTTCTTACACTGACTTTTCAGTAACTAGTCAGTATGAGATTTGTAAATATGGATTAGGGAAATTAACCCCTGCCTTTCAAAATTAAGTGCTTATAAATCTTCTAAAACATTTCCTTGGTACAGACTGAGCTACATTTTGATTACTTACCAATATTACATCACCACCACCTCTAGTGACTTTGTGACATGGTACCTTCCTGTTAGCAATTTCTTTGTGGTTGTGGTTTTAGTATGTAAACACATTTCCAAATCTGTCTTTCTGAATAGAAGATTCCCAAGTTGGATCCAGGAGGAGAGGTACTTAATTTCATACTTAAAATATAAAGTTTTGAAATTCTCCCATTTAAACATATATTTGTGTGTGTGTGTGTGTGTGTGTGTATATATATATATACATACACACACACACACACATATATATATATGTATACACACATACATATATATGTATTTTAAAACTGGAAAGTTTTAAAACATTCTGTACTTGTCACATTTGGTTTTCCATTATCTGATGTGGTACAAGGTACGTGTCAGGTTTTGTTGCTTTCACATGTCTCATTTTCAAAATTGGTAGCCTGTCCCTCCCTTTTCAGTATTTCTTTCTTTCTTTTTTATTATTTTATTTTATGTTTTTGAGGGGATGGGTACTGGGGATTGAACTCGACCTCTGAGCCACATCCTCAGGCCTTTTTTGGATTTTATTTAGAGACAGGTTCTCACTGAGTTGCTTAGCACCTCGCTGTTGCTGAGCTAGCTTCGAACTTGCGATCCTCCTGCCTCAGCCTCCTGAGCCAATGGGATTATAGGCCTGTGCCACCACGCCCGGTTTCCTATATTTCTTTATACAGTGCTTACTAGGTCTTTTTGCCTGTACCAGTTCCATAAGAGAACAGAGAATATCCCGTGTATTCCTGTACTCATTTCAGTAATTGAAAAGCATGAGACTCAGGAAAAACAATGCATTTTAAGTTAATTACAGTAAGTTTTTAGGAAGAATCAAATAGGAAAATACATATAAGAACCATTAGCAGATGTAAATAAATTATGTGTAAGTATGACACACTAATTATATTAAAGGCTAGTTGATGTGTGCTGTGTTTTTTGTTAGTCTTGCCATTTCTTACGTTTAACTTTTGTAGTGTAAATTATAGTGGCAGCCTAGAATCCACGTTGTTCATAGTCTATCTTGGCTTTTAGCACAAGTTTTCTAGGTTCTTTTGAGGCTTGTTCATTCTGCTGTTGTTTAAAAAACAACAATAATAATAATTATGCCATTTTCCTTGTTATGTAATTTTGCATCAGTGGCACTTTTACATTTTGGTTAAGTCAAATTGGCAAAATAGGAAGAAAATATTGATCAGGTCATCTTTAGTATTTTACCTTATTTTAACATTTAAAGAATCCTATGATGCAACCATATGTTTCTTTTAAGCTTTCAACATTATTACATCATTATGAATTTAGCATTTTTCTGAATTTCAGGTGTAGTAGTCTTATCTAGGAAGTTTATAGGGGTGGAGATATAGAAACGTTCTTGTGCAGGTAGTTGAGCTCACATGGAAATTTTGGGCCAGCTGTGCCTTCAGGAATTTGACAGATGGAAGCCCCACTTCCTTCCCAGCGAGGCACAGTTGAACACACTGCTGCTGAGGACACCTGGTTAACATCTTCATCTTCCTGGGCTTGCTAGAGGGGCAGTTGTGAGTCACGGGTTGTGACCAGTGGTCCATTGATCCAAAGAAGAAACTCATGCCATATCTGCTTCTTGGGTCCTGAGAGTTCACTGAATTTCATGTGTTTGATTACTGTGACATTCAAGGGGTTTTGTATAATTATTATAGTTAATTTTATAATGTTTGTTAGTTTTAGTGTTATACATATTACCTTACTATCATTCTGTTTTTCACCTTCAAAATTTAAAAAACTTAAGGACAAAAATTAGAAATAGAGATTTTGCATAGACGTAATTCTAAAAAAGAGATCCATGGTGTATAATTTAGACAGTCCAGAGCTGCGTGCCTTGAGACTTTGTAATCTATGGGTTGTTACAAGGGTATTTTTTTTTTTTTTATCTTAGGTTTAACAATTAGCATACCTTCTTTACATGTAAAATTAGAAAACCAGACTTTTAAAGATATGAATAAAAGAGCTTAGTAACTCCTAAATAAGAAGTTAACAGTTTTGATAATATTTCTGCTGTTTTGGTTGCATGCATCAGAGGTGCCAGCAGATGCTTCTGCTGGTCTTGGTGTACAGCGGAGGCACTCTCACTCAAGAGAAGCTGTTTTCCTGGTCCCCTTTGGTAGGCGAGTCCAGCCACCCAGCTGTCAGTTAAGAGCACTACCTCTCAACAGATTGTCAGCAATGAATCCCTCTTTCTATTGTCAGGCAAAGAAATGCTAGTGCATTTTCTACAGTTATATGTAGGTGAATTTGTATTGTTTAACAAATCATTTGACTTTTTCCAAGTCCATTTAAGAAGTTGAGATTAGGTTTTCTTGAATTGGCCAAATGAAATTGACTGAAGAATAAATGTATATAAAGTCAAATAGAGTAATGTATTTCCCATCAAGACAGTTAATGAGAACTGTTATCTCTTTGCTTTCCTTCACATATCTCTATAAGGACCACTTTCATGTTTTTGCAGGTACTGTAATAGGTGTTGTCATTTATACTGGAAAAGAGACTCGAAGTGTAATGAACACATCCAATCCAAAAAATAAGGTAGGCTAGATTAAGGAGCAAATGCTTTAATGACCTTGCTTTTCCTTTCAGGAAGAAAGTCGGTATAGTCCTGAATAACTCATTCACATGGCATAGTATGTGGCATGAAACAGATTCTGGTGATTTGGGGTCTGATTTTTCTGTGTTGATAAAATACCATTCTCATTTAAAAAAATTTTCCAAATACAACTTTTCTTGCCTAATTGGAGTTTTATATGTGTCTTGAATTTGCATTGTTAGATCTATAATTTATCAATAACTTGACAGTTATTGGTGGGTTCTCAATTTCTCTTCTCACAGTTTATTTTACAAATTGTGTTCTTTATGTGGATAATTTAGTGTTCTTTTAAAAAGCAATCTTTACTAATATTTTATAGCATTTAACTTAATGTGATATTGTTAAAGCAATTTAATATATTTCTACTGCAGAATATGCATATTGAAAACCAAATTTTAATTTTAAAAGAATACTTGATTACATTCCTAAAATTGGTACTCAGGCAATCAGCATGTATAAGTAAATCAAAACAAAAAGTCAGTATGAGTTCTCAGTAGTTGCTGTCTCAGAAAAGGCACATGTGCTCCAGGTATGGCTAATGACAAGTTCTTCTTCAAGGTGACTTTACTCACTTTTGCTTGGAGTGCAATCTGCATATTTAAGTAGAACCAACAACCTCATGTGGCTTCATTCCTCACACTGTACCTATTAGTAAAGGCTGTCTTTGCTGGGAATTTATTACAAATTAAAAATCCTTTTTAAAAAAATCATGTTTAAGACAAAATATGATCCTCTCCCCCCTACCCCCCCAGCTAAATACCATTGAAAAAAAATAGCCCTTCAAAGATTAGGAAAACCTTACCACCTGTGCCTGGCTTTTCTGTGCCCAGAGGCCTCCACTTCTATGTGTGCTCTGTGAGGGGCTGGCTGCAGTATAAATTCTCATTGTGATAATGGGGATTTCTTTAGATTAGTATTGCACCTTTGAGTATCAAATATACCAAAGTCGCTAATTCTACAATAGTTAAAATTAACATTTAAAAGTGAATTGCTCAACTAATAATTTACAGAATCGCATGCATACTTACATATGTTTTCAGGGAAGCGTTGTGATTTTTTTCTCAAGTGAGCAAATAGAATATTCTAGTGCCTGTATAAGTCCAGTGCTTCTCTAATCTTTTCACCTTTTATATTTATGATATTTGAAGATAAATTTAATGTTAAGTGTAAAGTTTAATTTATATCTTAAAAGTTAGACTGCCTTTCAATTTAACTCTTTATTCTTCAGTTTAACTTACTTCCTCTTTTTTCTTCACTTTATCACTTTTTTTCTCAATATAGCCTTTGTTTTTACCTCATTGAACTCTTTGCATGGAATTTTGATGCATAGTAACTTAAGTGACCTTGTATTTTATGATCACAATTAAGAATTCTGGCACTGGAGTTTCACTATCTGGGTGAGAATCTGGATTTTGCCACTGACTTGCCCTTTGGTCTTGGGCACATATCACAATTCTACATCTTAATTTCCTCATCTATAAACGGAGAACGTGTCCACATATTGAAAACAAGATAATGTGTGTTGCTTTTAGAAAAGAACTTGCCATACAGATGTTCAATAGATGTCATCTATAGACTTGCTATAGAATGGAATGTTTTCCAGCCTATCATCTCCAGTCAGTAAATACTTACTAACTAATTTATGTGAGGTAATATACCCTGTGCTGTCCAGTACCATGTACTCTTAAATTCTCCCAGTGGCCACCCTCTCTGCCTTCCTCTTCACCTCCTCTCCTTCCACCTCATCTCTCTCCCTCTTCTTCTCTCCTATGTTTAGCCTTCTGTATTTCCATGGTTTTAGCAGGGACACTGTTGGTATTCACAAGATTGGAGTGGAACCCTTGCTTGGCCTCTTAGTGGCTTTTAACCCGGTGTAAAGGGCTCCCTCAGTGGCAGGCTCCAACTCCAGCCAGAATCTGCCTGCCAGCAGTGCCTGAAACTCTGGGAGCACTTTTCCCTTGGCTGGCCCCTCTGCAGCTTCCCTTGTGTAGAGTGGTGCATTCATACCACAGCTCCCAATAGAGGGTGGCGCCTCAGTGGAACTGTGCCTTCACGGGAAAATCCTGAGCTATGCACTCTGCAACAGGGCACGTTAGTAGAGATTTGTTGGATTTTTTTTTTTTTTTTTTTTTTTTAGGCCTGAAGTTTTTAAAAATTTTTAAATTAAGGAATAACCCTAAGAGGGAAATTGATCAGATAAATTTGTATGTGTAATGAAATCTAAGTGTTCAATGCTAGTTTTATAAGAATAAAATTCAGAAACGCCTTTAAAGCATGCTATAAATGGGCTGAAGGTATCCAGGGAAGGTTTTGATTTTGGAGTATGGTGAATGGAGAGGAACATGTGATGTTTGTTTCCTGATGACCATTGTACTGTTTGAGAGACATTTTCTGAAGACTACATCTAGTGTTCTTCCACAGGCTAGTGAACCAGCAAACTTCTGGACTTTGAGGAAGGCTGGTGTAAATGAAAGTGCAAGTACTCTGAAGGAGAATCAGATTGCTCTTCTGAGTTTCATTGGATTTCTTCAGAGAGACAAAACCATCCCTCACAGTTCCAACAACTGTCTCACACATGGGGTGGGTTGATAGGGCAGTATTTGAAATTCGGTTTTGGAGTGACTTGTCAACAGAGTAATTTGAGCTAGAAATACATATTTTTGAATGAGTAAGAAGTGGTTACAGTTGGAACAGGCTAAGCCATGCTGGGATCCTAAACTGCCCCAAACCACAGTGATTTCCTACAGTGGTCCCCTTAGCGTGTTTTGTGTCTAACTGAGGCTGGGGGGGTGCTTGCTCATCATAGTCTCTGATGTAAGATAAACTAGCACATTGCATGTTGACCCTTAAGGCCTCTATTAGTAAGCAATACAGGTGACCAGAACAACTAAAGGCCTCAGCTTTGCTCAAGAAGCCAGATAAGAACAGTCCTGCTTCCCATGCAGGAGGGAGCTGTAGGTACTGAATCAGCAGCACTAGTGACTACCTCCAGCATGGCTATGACTTTAGCTTTTCAGGGCTTCTCTTTAGTGTGAAAAAAGACCTTGTGGAATCCCCCAAAATGTAGTGTTTAAGAGGTCATGCAGAGGAATTATAACCAGGGAGTATCACAGGAGGGGGCAGTAGTGACAGTAGGTGTCAGCTGTGGTGCTCCCTAGGGGAAAGCAGGGAAGGCTAGTAGGTTCAGTAGCCTGCCAAAATCAGCACTGGAGACTCTAGGGGCTCAGGGTGATAAGAGGATGTGACATTGGGGGATCTGGGGTCAGGGTTAGGAGAAGAGAGCCTAAAGAATGTTGATTAAAAACAAGTGGGGGCTGGAGTTTTGGCTCAGCAGTAGAGTGTTTACCTAGCACGTCGAAGGCACTGGGTTCAATCCTCAGCATCACATAAAAATAAATAAGTAAAATAAAGGTATTGTGTCCAATTACAACTAAAAATTTTTTTGAAAAAGAACAAGTGGATTGCCAGGCACAGTGGCGCTCACCTGTAATCCCAGCAGCTCAGGAAGCTGCAGTAGGAGGATTGCGAATTCAAAGCCAAACTCCTCAAGAGGCACTAAGCAACTCAGTGAGACCCTGTCTCTTAAATAAAATACAAAATGGGGATGTGGATGTGGCTTAGTGGTTGAGTGCCCCTGAGTTCAATCCCCGGTACCAAAAAAAAAAAAAAAAAAGTGGAGTGATCCTATCATAAGAGAAAGCCGGCAAATAGAGGCTGGCACTCCCATTTTATTTATTTTTTCTAGCTAGAGAAATTAATATAATGGTACTATTAATACTATCATAAAAGGACAAAAGGTCTTTAGCTTAAAAGAAAATTACATAATATTATATGACTACCATTGAAAATATGACATGGCTTCTTTGATTGCTAAAAAATATTTACAGTCAATCATTATGTCTCTTCTTGTCTCCCCTTCCCTCTTACTTTTTTGTTTTCTTCCCTATTTTCACTCTCTTCATTTTTCATTTATTTTCTACCTTCATTACAGTGTATGTAAATGCGAGGACCATGCAAATTTGTAAAATTGTTAAGTTCCTATTTAAGCTCTTTTGTGTAATATTGGGGACCTAGCTGTTCTTGGAGTTAAAGTTATAATGGAGCCAGTAACAAACAGAGGACAAGAGCCCCAAAGCAGGCACAAAACAATAGACACTGAGTTGGTCCAAAATTGCAGGTTGGCAGCAGCAGGTTTCAGAGAAAAGTAGTGGAAGGAGTACAGCAACCCCAGGGCACAGGCAGTGAAGTGAGTGATAGTACATAACCATACAGATGGCAGCCCAGAGGCCCCCTGGAGCCCAAGGGCAAGACTTTTAGAAAAGGAGAAAGGCAGAAGATGTGGTCAGACTAGGCACATCTGGAAGTAAGGTAGCTATTGGCACTAAGAGGCAAAGTACAGGCAGCATGGTGGTGCATGCTTGGAATCCCAGCAGCTAAGGAGGATTGAAAGTTCAAAGCCAGGCTCAGCAACTCAGCCAGACCCTGTCTCAAAATAAAATATAAAAAGGGCTGGGGATATGGTTCAGTGATTAAGCACTCCTAGGTTCTTTCCCCTATACTCCCACCTCCCAAAAAAGAGGCAAAATGCAGTGACAGGAGGGCTTCATGCAGGGGAGGTGCCAGCACCCAAGTGCACACCTGTGTTCACATTTTCCAGTCTACCTTCCCTTATAAAAGGATGCATCCTGGTATTGCTGCAGCTAACCTGCAAAGGCAGAGCGACTGTTCCTACATGTGTTCTATTTCCCAGGACCTTCTCTCTCAAGGGGACACAGTAGCAGTCTCATACTCTTCAATTGCTTGTGGACTCTCACAGAATCAATTCAGTTTAACAAATGCTCTGCTTGCTGATTTTTCTCCTTTATTCCTGGATGGAGCAGAAATATAGAATTCTATAAAGATTGCACATCCTCTCAGTGACTTTTGCCTCGCCTCTCTGTTA